CATGAGGTCCCAACTCTAACAGGCAAATGTTCAAAACCTAGACTAGGGTTCTAAAATAAATGGAAGTGACACAGACACAGTCAATGTTCTAGTTTAGAAGCATTCAAATCTAGCCACATGTGACCATCCCCTCAGCAGCAGTTAAAGCATAGGTAAGATGTAAGCCCTAACTGAGGCCAATTAAATCAGAATGTCTGAGCAGGGATCTGAAAGTGCCCCACTGGCTGCTCATGTGGAGTCACAGATAAACTATACTGGCCGATTTGTTATAAGACATTACAGATAAAAGACAATCAACTGGGGGAAGGCAGCTTAGTAGTTGTATGTTTGCCCAGCATGTGTAAGGTCTTGGCTTTAATCTTCAGCATAAAAAATAGTAACTGAAAAGGAAGAAACAATATAAGTTCATGTACACACCAATTACGTAAAATCATGGAAAGACACAGTATCTAAACATTAATCTATCTACCTTCAAAAAGTTTAGCTCTGTAACAGGGTGTGTTGCTTGGTTTACTACTGGTCTGGTGACCAAGGTGAGGAAGCCAGGAAGGAGGAGCTCAGCACTGCTGTATAAATCCTAAAAGGCAAGGTAAGCAAGGGAGAAGTTCAACTACACTGTGCTCTATATTTCCAACTAGCAGAAGAAAAGCACTCTCGATTTCCTTCTATAAAAATCACATATCAAGGTTACTATGAGCTTGGAGCTGGCAGGGAAGGAGATAAAAATGAAACAGAAAACAAAGCTCTGTTCTAGCTTAACCACAGTTCTGTTAGTGCAATGCTCAACAAAGCCACTAGGCCCATCATCCCATGAGCCACCCCCACACTATGGAGCAGGTGTTTGCACAGATGTACAGCCTCTGAATAACAGGAAGGGCCTCACCTGCCCCAACCACAGGACAGGCTCTACCTACTATGTGCTGCTGAAAGCAGACCATCAGCATGGAGGCACCCTGATGATCAAGGCAGACTGCACAGACATTTCTACACTGAGGTGCATTAATAGAACACATAGAATAAAGCCCCGAGAAACTAAAAGGAAAAAAAAATAGCTTAAAGAAATCAGGTCAGGTCTAAAGAGAACCAGAGGTAGGCTTTACTTTTCCTTCTAGCCTGCTCAGTTTGCTTGTTTTTCTTGAGATAGTTTCTCCCTTGCTTTGAAACAGAAATCATTATTTTCTACAGAAGCACCTCTAAGTTGAACATACTTTGTCCTCTGCTGGGAAGAAAAGGGTTAAGTAAAAGCAAGGGCAGGCTGGGCTCACACCTGCTCCACCATCCCTCCAACTCTACCACTCAGAGCTCCCTGGCCATTTCCTTCTTGCCTTCCTTTTAATTCCCAAGCTGGGAATGCCCAATGATGCCTGCCTCATTCCTGGGAAGACAAAAGGTAGAGCTGCAGAAACTGCTTGATTTTTCTCTAACATTTCTCAATGTTTCAAGTCAGAACCTGAACTTGAAAAGGAAATCTTTGAAAACAGCTTCAATCACAAACAAATATCCAGTTGTGACACTCAGTTTTTTTCCATCTTAAAAAAAGAGCTGCTTGCTATCTGGGAGTACTATTACCAATTTCGTAAACAGAAGATTATCATAGATTAGTGAAGATTTCAAAGTTGCCTGCAGAGAAAGTCCCAAATTCTTGGTGGCTTTGCTTGCTCCTTATCAGCATTCTCCATTCTTTAAGAATTTAAAAGTCACTCTTCATTCATCCAACAGATATCACTGATGCCCCCTATGTCTGGTGTTATCATGCAGGATTATGAGATTCACTACAGTAGTTATATGGGGATCAAATTACTTAGAAAAATCATTAGCAGGTTGCTTTTAGGCATCTCTAAAACTGTTTGCCTTTAAAACTCAGCTTGATTTGGTGACAGAATACTGTATGAATTGTTGAATTGTTTCTGTTCTATTCTTGATTCAAGTAGCAACAGAAATAGGAGCTTTCTCTCTCAAAGCCTTGGCACTCTCCTCCCTACTCCATTCAATTCACTCATCTTTTTCCATTTGAATGTTAACACCAGTGAGTAATCAAGCCAGTTTGTCCTGTGTGAGCATGGAAGAGTGCCTCTGTAGGCCTGTACCTACATTTTCATAAGCAAGTGGCTCTTGTGGGAAAGATGTGAACAAACATCCCTTGCTTGGTTGTTTTCCCTAGCCTCTGGTAGACACAGGAATGCAGGGATATCAGAACAGCTTCACCCCAGCTTCCAGAGATTTCCATTTATTTCTTTCCATGTATCCTTTCCTCCTCACTGGCCGCAAGGGCCATGTGCAGGGGCTACCATATGGTAACACTGGCCCCATATGGCCCAATCTCACTAAAAGAGGCTCTCAAGAACATAAAAATGCTGCTGTATACTTTTATTGCAGCCCCTGCTCGTTCCCTCCATCTGTCTTCCGTACGGCTGCTGCACCTCTATTAGGCTCTCATACACACAACCTCTAATATGAAGGTCTGCCAACATGACCTAGGTAAAGAACTGGTGCTCACTTCTGTCAGTGACAAGGGACCTCCATTATTTAAGGTATCCGATTCATTTATTCAAACTAGAACAAACTATAACCACTTTTCTTCAATTTGTATACATTTATATTTTAAAAACTTATCAACAAAAAGCACATGATAGCTGTCTCCTTTAAGTTTCAAAGAGTCACATGATTTCCATATAAGTTTCTCTAGCATAATATATCAACCACTTTAAGATTGACTCTTTTTTTTTTTTTTTTTTTTTTTGGTCTTTTTTGTAGTTCCAGCCAGCTGGCCTTGAACCTGCAGAGATGTGCCTGCCTCTGCCTCCCAAGTGCTGGGATTAAAGGTATGTGCCACCATGCCCAACTGACTCATTTTTTTAAAATAAAACTCTCCTTTAATAGGAGGAAAAGTTGTTACTGTATTTTCTTTCAAATGTCCTTACAAAACCCTGAAGTTTCACGTGTCTCCCTTAAACTCTGAAAAAAAAAGACCAGAAATCAGAGGAGACTAGCCTTCTGACCTACTTAGACTGGGGCTAGGAAGGTGTTTCCACTGAGTTCTGATTCTTTTTGTTTTCTGTGCATATGGCTAAAGTGATATATTTGACTCCATGGTTGATATAATAGAAAAGAAAGCAGAAATAAAAGTCAGTAGATAGCATGCATATCCTATTCCCAGCAGGAGGCAACTCCTGGCATTACAGTGATAAAGGTGACTTGTCATTTCCAGTGTTAAATGGTGAGTGTGTTAGTGAGCCCCACCCCCAACTCCTGCTCAGGCCATTTTTCTCAAAAGTAAAGAGAATAGGCTGAAGGTGTAGCTTGGTTGTAGCCTGCTTGACTAGCTTACAGGAGGCCCTGGGTTTGATCCCCAGCACCATTAGAGAAAAGGAGGGAAGGAAGGAAGGAAGGAAGGAAGGAAGGAAGGAAGGAAG